GCATGATGGTAGGTACCTGTAGTCTCAGCTACTCGGAGGCTGAGGCAGGAGAATTGCTTGAACCTGGGAATACATGACTTTCTTGATTAGTTGACTTGGTTTCTTCTAGCCCCTGTTCCTTTTTCTGTAAATAGGAATGCTAATATTTATCTTGTAAGGTTGTTTTGTGATTTAAATAATTTAAAGTATTTAAAGACCCTAGTTCATCACTTGGCCTCTAAGAGGAGCTCAAAAATTTATAATAGTTCTTGGTCAGGTTTCCCTTTAACACTATTGCTACACTTAAAACAATAAATTTGGCCAGGAGTGGTGGCTCATGCTTGTAATCCCAGCATTTTGGGAGACCGAGGCAGGCAAATCACTTGAGGTCAGGAGTTTGAGACCAGCCTGACTAACATGGTGAAATCCCATCTCTACTGAAAATACAAAAAAAAATTAGCCAGGCATTTACAATTCAGGCTGTGATTTGAAAAAAAAAAAAAATTAGCCAGGCGTGGTGGTGTGTGCCTGCAATCCCAGCTACATGGGAGGCTGTGGTAGGAAAATCACTTGAACCCGAGAGGCAAAGGTTGCAGTGAACCGAGATCGCACCACTGGACTCCAGCCTGGGCGACAGAGTGACTCCTTCTAAAAAAAAACACACAACCAAAAAAAACCCCCAGAAAGAAAACAATCCATTTGCAAATGATGTTTGGGATATGACCATTAATAAGTTCTTATGTACTATACAACTTCCTGTATACTATATCGCCTGGTGAAATGTAACCACCTTGTATATTAAAATAATTTTGTAAAAAAATATTTGAGCACTAGTTTTCCTTTTTTTTTTTGCTAGACTATGAGTTTTTTGAAGGCAGGGGCCATGTCTTATGTACCCTTTATTTCAGATCACTTTCAAACACATTAGAATCTCAGTAGAATCAAATTTCTCTTTTGTACTTTATTCCAACAGTGAAACGATAATCTCCCTAACATTCCTCAATTAGCAATTTATAATTAGCCTATCAATAACTAGGAGATAGACAGGGCCAAAAATAGCCCCATCTCTGCCTTTAAAGGCCTTTTTTCTTTCTTCCTTTCTTTTTTTTTTTTTTTTTTTTGAGACAGAGTCTTGCTCTGTTGCCCAAGCTGGAGTGCAGTGGTGTGATCTCAGCTCACTGTATCCTCCGCCTCTCAGGTTCAAGCAATTCTCCTGCCTCAGCCTCCCCAGTAGCTGGGATTACAGGCATGCATCACCACGCCCAGCTAATTTTTGTGTTTTTAGTAGAGATGGGGTTTCACCATGTTGGCCAGGATGGTCTCGATCTCTTGACCTCATGATCTGCCCGCCTCAGCCTCCCAAAGTGCTGGGAATACAGGTGTGAGCCACTGTGCCTGGCAAGGCCTTTTCTTTTTTTGCCCATCACACATGGCTCATATTTCCGCCTCCTTGAGTCTGGTTATTGCTCCATTAACAAAACTATTCCATCAGGGAACATAACTTGGTTTTGTGCATCCAACTATCCTCCCTGGCAACAACCTATATAGAGAGGCCATGGAAGAAGAATTTCCTGGACCCCAGTGGTCGAGCCATAATTTAATGCCTATTAGGATTCAAAGAGGCCTCTGACCTGTGACTTTTAAACACAGGTTCCTTTAATAGTCTTCTGATAGTTACGGACATTTTCTGCAGAAAAATACAAACCATACCTTAGTACAATTTCAAGGTGTTTTCAAAATGCCTGAAGCCCCTGGATTCCAGGTTAAGAATTCTTGTTAGCCCAGAAAAAGGAATCAGCAATGTGAATGATTCGTTTCCTGAGAAGTTCTAGCCCTGACTAGTCACTGTCCCTTTCTGAAAACAAAACACAACAACAGAACAAAACACGGCAATGACAACTCCCAAGATTTAACCTCAAGGTTATCCCTGAGAGTCCAAACCTGGGTAGTAATGGTAAAGGCTTCCAGCCAAGCAGTAACTACTCTTTGGAGAACCCAGGTTCAGCCGGCGTAAAATAAGCCTTGTTTGATAATACCGTTTACATTTCCAAATCCTGGGTATCAAGCTTTCTTCCTATCCCTTGCGGCCCTTCCTAAGTTTAGCCGCTGGTGTAATGGGGTAACCATGGCAACAACCACCTGCCTATTTAAAACCATCTCCAATGCTAAATGAGGAAGCCTGGAGAAAATGGCTGCTTGCCTGCCTCTCCGTGGACAAATTGGGCACTCCTGGGTATTTTAGACATGGGCGAATAGGCAGGGTAGAAGCAGTAAGTATGCAAAGTTCTCAACAGGAAGCGTTTGGTGACCTTGTGAAATAGGTGCTACCTCAGCCCTTCCGTCTTCACTCGTTAGGCAGCCACGCATGTTTACATGCAAATCCCTGTGCCTGTCACCCAGGCGACCATGCTACCTTGACCTCCTCAATCAGGTGAAGAGCGAGGTGAGAACCGAACCTCAAAGAGTAGTCTTGTTTATGGGATGTTGGAAGTGAGAAGCGAAAACAGTTCTACAGATCACAGTGAATTTGTTCATACTTGGCATTAAAATGCACACTACAATATTTTTTTTCTGATGGTTGTGTCTTTCTAATTGTACTTAATCGTGTGGGTGATTGATGATTGCTCTATTTATGTCATATGTTGGCCTGCCTATTGATTTTTGGCATGCGGAGAAATTTCCCCCTCCCTTTGCTTCCTTGCTTTCTACGAACTACAGGGGTTTGGTTTCTTTCCCCTGTCGAGACCATACAACCGATCACACCGAACGTCTTGCCCTTCCACAAGTAACCCGCCACACCACATTCCATGTCCTTGGTTTGTGCTCCCATAGGTCACCTCCAGTCACATCACTTAACACAAACCATTCTGTACATTTCCTTTCCAGCCCGTTTCCAGCACCGGGCTGTGAGTCCCCTACACGGGTCTGTCCCAAACGCCTGTAGAACAGTGTCTGGTGTGCAGTATGTTTTCAAAAGCTCTGTTGAATGAATGGATGAATGAATGAACAGAACCCCATGGCTTTCATAAGCATATGGCACATGTACACGAATACATATAGGGATACTTGTATGAGGCCGGGTGCGATGGCTCACACCTGTAATCCCAACACTTTGGGAGGCTGAGATGGCAGATCACTTGAGGTCAGGAGTTCAAGACCAGCCTGGCCAATATGGTAAAATCCTATCTCTACTAAAAATACAAAAATCAGCTAGGTGTGGTGGTGGGCACTTATAATCCCAGCTACTTGTGAGGCTGGGGCAGAAGAATCACTTGAACTCAGGAGGCGGAGGTTGCAGTAAGCTGAGATCGTCCCACTGCACTCCAGCTTGAGCAACAGAGCAAGACTTCATATCAAAAAAAAAAACAAAAAAAAACAAACAAACTTGTCTGAACAGAGGACCGTGAAAGTCTGAGGAATGGGTTGAAGAGGAGTACTTAAAAAAAAAAGTGATTTGTGTGTAACTGGGAGTGCAAAGGACTGTTAGAGGAGGCATCTGAACTGTAAGTTTGTGGCGCCAGTAGCAGGGTCTGGAAGTACTCATGTTTCTAGTGTACCGTGAGTGTGTATAGTGTGTGTGTGACAGCAAGAAGATTCTGTGACAGTATGTACTTCCTAAAAGGTTCGTTCAGCTGCTACCAGATCCCGCAGGTCACTCTTCTGAAGCTGCAGTTTTCAGTTTCTGACCTCTAGAAAGACCCCCTTCTTCTTGGTTAACCTCTCAGGCTGTGGGGTCAGGACAAAGAGCAGGAATGAAAATGGCAAGTTCTGTAAATGATGGGGTACTGGGCTTTAAATGAATGTCTTCAGCAAATGCTCTAACCTCTTTTTTAAAGATAATTCTTGCTTGTAATCCCAGCACTTTGGGAGGCCAAGGCGGGTGGGTCACTTGAGGTCAGGCGTTCGAGACCATCCTGGCTAACGTGGTGAAACCCCATCTCTACTAAAAATACAAAAATTAGCCCGGCGTGATGGTGCATGCCTGCCTGCAATCTCAGCTACTCAGGATGCTGAGGCAGGACAATTGCTTGAACTCGGGAGGAGGAGGTGGAGTGAGACGAGATGGTGCCACTTACTCCAGCTTGGGTGACAGCAAGACTCTCTCGCAATAAATAAATAAATAAATAAAGACAAATCAGTGGGCTAAATAAAAGCCAACACCTTCAGGTTCAAAGACAAAGTCCAAATCATTATCCATCCTCCTCCCCACACACCTAGAGCTGGGGCGGGAACAGTGTCCGAAATAGTGGTCATCTCGAAGTACGGGGCACAACAAAGAAAAAGAAAGAATGAAAATTAACCAATGAGAAGAAAGAGAGAAAGAAGGAAGGAGGGAGGAGTGGGTAGCTGTATGTCAGACACAGCTCAGTTCTGGCAAATTTCCTCCTACAAGGGAGAACTGTTTGCTTTCATTTGCAAATGACCTAGTTTTCTCTTTCCTTTCATGTTTGAACCTAACTTGGAGACTTCACAGAGTGCCCAGGCTGAGGCTGGTACCTTTGCAGGTACCTCTCTGCTGCTGCCCTCTGCTGTCAGGGGAGGCAAAGAAGACGCCGTCCTGGTCCTCCTGGTCCAAGCCCCGGAGCTGCCATCTTCTCCCATTTGAGACTGACAGAAGCTAGGGTCCTCTCCAGCCTCCCCACCCTTCCCCAAAAGAATCATGAGGGGCTGGGGTTGGAGGCACTGTACTTGAAAGCAGCAGAGACTCAGGAGTTGGGGCTCCAGTTAGCCAAGGGCAGACGCCCTCCCACCTCCTCCCCTGCAAAAGCAGGCCCTTCATACCCACCTCCTTTTTCCCAGCCCCTCCCTCAGCTCAGAGCCTTTGGGAGAGGACAGGCAGTTAGCCTGAGCCAAATTTCTGACACTTTTTTTTTCTTGGAAACCCTCCTTCCGGCGACATGGCAGGAAGGCCAAGTCCCTGGCGGCCCTGGCTAGGAACATTTCCGGAGAGCAGGTGAGAGGCTTCTGTTCCGCCAGGGCCACACTGGGTGGGTGGCAGTGCAGCCGGGCCTGCAGCTTACCTGCTGTTGAATTTTTCAGGGTGTTTCTCTCTCATCACATGGAATCTGTGTGCAATGGAAGCATCCTGAAAGTGAAACAGACAAAGCAGATCCTTGGTGAGTGGTCATGACAGTGCAGTGTGGAATGAAGGGACCCACACATGCCCTCACTGAGTCATGCCAACTCTGGGACTCTATTGCACATGGTGGGGCTCCAGGTCACATCTGCGGCGCCAACAGAGGCTCAACACCACCTCCAAGGGGATGAGCTAGCACCAAGACTCTCACAGCCTATGCCAGTTGACCCAAGCCCTTGCGATTTCACTCTGTCCCAGGAGCTGACAACAGATAGTTCAGGGGTGAGTGAAGGGGAAAGCCACTGCCCTTTGGGGAGAATGTGAGTCTGTGAGCTGTTAGAGAGCAGGAGCCTGTGTCGGGGGCTGAGCGCGAGTCTCTGGAAATGACTTTCCATATTAATTCTTTTTAAAAAAAATTTTTTTTGGAATATTTTGACTTACGAGAAGTTGCAAAAAATAGTATAGGGTTCCCATGTCCCTTTCACTCAGCTTCCCCCGATGATAACATTCACTTACATAACGATAGAACACTGTCAAAACCAGAAACCTGACGTTGGTAGATGCTGTTATATACTAAGTCTTAACCATCTACACCAGTAGGAATTATTAATGCCATTGGATCACATACTCAGGAGATAATAAAAGAAAATTAAACTCTGGCTTCTGCTTCTTTTCTTTTTTTCTTGAGGCAGAGTCTCGCTCTGTTGCCAGGCTGGAGTGCAGTGGCGCTGGAGTGCAGTGGCACAATCTCGGCTCACCGCAACCTCTGCCTCCCAGGTTTAAGCGATTCTCCTGCCTCAGCCTCCTGAGTAGCTAAGATTACAGGCACACACCACCACACCCAGCTGATTTTTGTATTTTTAGTAGAGATGAGGTTTCGCCATGTTGGCCAGGCTGGTCTCGATCTCTTGACCTTGTGATCTGCCCACCTTGGCCTCCCAAAGTGCTGGGATTACAATTGTGAGCTGCCGCGCCCAGCCTGGCTTCTCCTTCTTGATCGCTTCACTCAAAGGACTCTCTCTAAGGCCAATAAAAATCATTACTACATCCTGTGGACACTGCCCTCCTATCAGCACTGCCCTCCTTGGCCACACTAGTGGCCCCTGCACTCCAGCGCTCACAGTTAGGATGGTAGTCATGACACTGTGCTTCTGGGCTCTCCATCCTCTGACCACAGCTTCCTAACACTGGGTTCTACCTGCGGCCCCCACTCCACGTGTGGCCATCTCATGAGTTCTCGTGGCTGTTACCAGCATCTGGATGATGATGCCACTCTCTAGAGCCAACCCTAAGCTTCCAACCCGAAACGGAACTTGTCTTTCCTCCTCAAACTGTCTTCTCATTTTCCAGTAGAAGAATGTGTAATGCCCCTTTACCGCTCAGGCCCCGTGCCGGCACTTTGGGTGCCAGTGTGGGGCTTCAGAAATAAATAGGCTAATTGGGCTGGAGATGGGGGGTGACACAGAAACCAGGGAGCTGACTAGATTTGTTTTGCAACAAAAAATATAGAAATCTATTTACTGGAATACATGGCTACAAGACACCTGAAATTCCACGCAGTGAATTTTCATCAAATGCATATTAATTTCATTTCTTATATGAAAATTTCTGCGCATGTATGTGTTTTTTTTATGTTTTGAGATGGAGTTTTGCTCTTGTCACGTAGGCTGGTGCAGTGGCATGATCTCGGCTCACTGCAACCTCTACCTCCCAGGTTCAAGCGATTCTCCAGGCTGAGCCTTCCAAGTAGCTGGGATTACAGGCATGTGCCACCACATCCGGCTAATTTTTATATTTTTAGTAGAGATGGGGTTTTCGCCATGTTGCCAGGCTGGTCTTGAACCTCAGGTGATCTGCCTGCCTTGGCCTCCCAAAGTACTGGGACTACAGATGTGAGCCACTGCACCCGGTCTCTCTGTGTGTTTTTAAACTTCAGGAGGGATAGTTCCATGAAGGACCTTTTTAAGCATGAACTGTGTGTGGCACAGGAGGCCAGCAGCCCACATTTGAAAGGTGGCAGGGCAGGAGGGGAAGATGGGCTTCTTTTGTGATTGGCAAACATTCCTTGCTAAAATGATGTTTTGAGAGTTTAAAAATTAAGCTTTAGCTATTAATGTTTTTTTTTTTTTTGAGATAGAATCTTGCTCTGTTGCCCAAGCTGGAGTATAGTGGTGCGATCTCAGCTCACTGCAACCTCCGCCTGCTGAGTTCAATCGATTCTTCTCCCTCAGCCTCCTGAGTAGCTGGGATTACAGGTGTGTGCCACCATGTCTGGCTAATTTTTTGTATTTTTAGTAGAGACAGGGTTTCACTATGTTGGCCAAGCTGGTCTCAAACTCCTGGCCTCAGGTGATCTACCCCCCTAAGCCTCCCAAAGTGTTGTGGTTACTGGCATGAGCCACCACGCTTGGCTGATTTATTTTTTCATTTACGATATACTAAGAGTTTAACGTCTTGGAGAGGTACCCCCATGGGTGCCGGGGTGAGATGTGCGGACCCCAGGTAGGACTCTGTCCCCGAGGCCTATGTAGCCTGCACCATTTCCCCTTGGCAGCAGCACTTCCTGCTCCCAGACTGTGCCCACCTCCCACTCTCTGAGCAAATTTCAGTGAACACCCTCAATAAGAATCATATGACATTCGTCAAATGCTTCTCTAAAATTCAAGAAAACATTCCGTCTACTTCTATTCCTTTGAAGCACTAATTTTCTTCTGTCAGGAAAAAAAAGGGGGAAAGAAAAACGCAATCACATGTTGCCTGGTACAATTTGTACTTCACTCTCTCCTACCCCTGTACTGCTGACTGGCTCTTGGCTTTTTGATTCTCTGGGATACGTGCACAGGCCCCCTCCTTCCATACAGTTCTGGTTGTCCTTGGTTTTTCCATAACTAGGTTTTGCAAAGCTGCTTTTCACAAAGACCAGCCTTTAAAACATTATGAGTTAAGCACGTGGTCCCTAATTTGACAATGTAATCCCTTGGCAAATACACAAAGTAGCAAGGAGAGCTGAGCAGCTCCTTTTCTAAGTCTTAAAAAGGCAATGAGGGTAAAGACTCTGACGATGTTTCTCTACCTGGGGATTCAAAACAGAGTCGAGATTCACTTTCACTCCCTGGAGCTTCTAGGTCAGGCAATGAATGCCCTGAGGCATATTTACAATCGGCTGCGATGGTTCAGACCCTTTCTTGGTTATTAAGGCATAAACCCTTTCTTGATGATAATTAAGGCAAAGCGAGACTCTGTTGTGAAGGTGGGAGACGAGAATTACAAATCCATGGAAATGATAATGGCATTTTTGATGGGCTTACTGACATCTTTTCTTTCGGGTGTGGGGTGACGAGGAGACAGTAGAAGGTATGGCCATAGGGCCTCTTTCCTGAACTACAACTCAAGGCACATGGTTGGACAAAGAAATTTGAGCCCCTTCCAAGTACAGGAAGCAGTCATTTGGACTCTTAAGATACTGGGATGTCTAGGCCATTACTATCCAATAGAAAAATAGAGAAAGTTAAATACTTAATATTTTCTAGTAGCCACATAAGTTAAAAAAAAAAAGATGAAATTAATTTTTAAAAAATTAAAAAAAATTTTTTTGAGACGGAGTCTTACTCCATTGCACAGGCTAGAATGCAATGATGTGATCTCAGTTCACTTCAAGCCCCGCCTCCCGGGTTCAAACAATTCTGCCTCAGCCTCCTGAGTAGCTGGGATTACAGGCGTGCACCACCACGCCCGGCTAATTTTTGTATTTTTAGTAGAGACAGGGTTTCACCTCATTGGTTAGGCTGGTCTCAAACTCCTGACCTCAGGTGAACCACTTGCCTCAGCCTCCCAAAGTGCTGAGATTACAGGTATGAGCCACCATGCCCAGTCTGAAATTAATTTTAATATTTCATTAACCCAATAAGCCCTGGATATTATCACATGGAATTAACATAAAAATTATTGAGACCTTAAGAAAAATTTTTATATCACATTTTTGAAATGTATTGTGTATTTTATACAGCTCACCTGACATCTCAATTAAGACAGGCCCCATTTCAAGCACGTAATACCACATGTGGCTGATAGCTGTTTTGTGGGGTAATGCAGGTCTAAGTCACTTTGGCAGTTTATGGAGATAAAAAGATGGAAAGGAGACCATAAGACAGATTATTTGAAATCTGGGTTGTTCTGGAAATCACGGCAAATTGGGAATGGAAAAGGGTACAGACCCTTGCCCACTCTGGGGAGTCCCACTGTCTTAGTATCTTCACGGCTCTCACAGCTGACAAATAAGAACCTGATGCCGGCAGGGTCCAAAAATCTGCAGGAAAAATTATATCTTGTGGAGAAATTCCCTAGGGGGTAGGACGCTTATTATCATGGTGGGAGGCTTGCCTGGCGATAGCTGGGAACAAGCTGTAAGGTGGAGAACCGTGCATGGGTCAGTGCGACCTCCGTGGCCTCTCCTTGGCCCCTGGGCTCCCTAGTATCAGAAATAGATTTCATTGAATCAAGGGATTAGCTGTTCACCCGTCCTGTAAAGGCTCATGAAAGCAGAGCTTGTGAGAAGCTGAGAGTTACACATGCCTTGGGAATTATTTGGTAGTCCCAAACTTCCTGTCACTGACACCTGGCCATCCTGACATTTTCTGCTGATCCAAAAATAAAGAACAGGGAGGAGCAGGCCAGAGAAGTCAGAGGAAGTGGCATCCGGAATGGCTGCGTTTAAAATCTCCTGCCAGTAGATATTATCAGTTTGAAGGACTCATAAGGCCAACTATCTTAGCTTCTCAATGGTGAGAATCTGAGGTGTGGGTGGGGCTGTTGTAGCAGAGAGGGCACAGTCATTCCTTGGAGAAGCCAGGAGACCCTGCCTTATGTATTCTCCCATCTATTAAATGGGTTCTGTTGGTACCAAGGGGTCCTGGTAAACTCATCAGAGAAAATTCTATCCATAGCACCCAGGGGCACTGTGTCAGGGGTCATTGTCATCATCTTTATAAATACAAAGCAGCAGACATTTGATACCAATAAGACATTCTAGGTCCTTCAAAAGATGCAAAGACCTCACAGGGCTCTCTTTGCCAACGGAGTTTGCCTCTATTTGATCATCATAAGGAAGTAAAACTTCCTTGGTTTACATACCTACTTCTCTTAAAAAGTTTGGGAAGTCAAATAGGGAGCAAGACCTTCTGCAAATGTCAGCCCCAGACTCTGTGAGGGTTGCGTGCTGGTTACTTGTTTTCTCAAGAATTTCTCTTTTCAACTTTGAAAGAGCGAGCATACAAACCCTGCAAACATTTTATTGAGAGAAAGCCAAAGGCACACCAATGAGATGAGAACAGCTCTGGCTTCTCATTCTTCTGCAATATAATATTAAATATGGATAAATGAAAGTATAAAAAAAATCATGAGGAAGATATTGTGAAGTTGTTCATAGTTGGAAAGATGAATAGATTGGATTATTATAAGTCAGCCCAGGGTAGGTAAATTATCTTGACCACTGAGAGTGATGGAGAATCTGTTTATACGCATTTCCATGGGGACAATTAATTAGCCAGCCAGCCCGTTTTCCTTCCTTCTTACCTCCTTTCTTTCCTTTTTCCTCCCTCCCTCCCTCCCTTCCTTCCTTTTTTCCTACTTTTATGCTAGAATAAATTAGAACTTTGATTACTGGTTAGTCTTGTCTCTTGGGTTTAGAGCTTGCCCATTTAGTTGAGGGAAGGCTGTCCATTTCCTTTTGGTGTGTTCATCCATTTGGTCAGCAGATACTAAGGAGGACCGTCTTCTACAGGGCGCTGTGTCAGGACAGGGAGGTGCCAGGAACCATGTTTCTGTCAGCCGGAGCTGGGTGTGTTGGAAAGGAAAGAACTGGGGCGGAAGCTTCCGCAGGCATCTGTGCCGTACCCTGCTGTCTAGAAGTTCCCAGGCAGCTCTGCCCGTCTTGCTCCTCAGCTCTGGCTTCCAGCCCGTTGCTGAGAGGGGCTAGTTCTCCCCTCCTTCCTTGCTTCCCTCTCCGTTTATTTCAGTTTTGGCTTCTGGGCCAGCGAAGAGCCACTTCCTTTGACCATTCTTCTCTGCTGTAGTAGGTTGCCTTCGTTCCCTGAGAACTTGGTCAAGACCATCTGCATCAGAATGATCTCAGGGGCTTGTTAAAAATGCCAGTTCCCAGACCTCGCCCAGCCCTACTGAGTTGGAATATGAATCAGCATCTGTTGTTGGGGTGAAATTTACATTTCTAACAAGGGGTGCAGGTGAGCCACCACAGCTAAATTTTGAGATGCCCCTCCTATCAAACCATGTTACATTTGGCAACATGAAGACAGAGGGGGCTTCCGAGAGGCACAGCGCTCAGGTCCGCAGCTCAGCTGGCTCTAGAGCTTGACTCAGGATTCCAAGCTCTGCCACTCACCAGCCTGCACTTGCTTCTGTACCTCTCTAAGCTACGATTCCTTCTTACAAAACGCAAAGGGATAATGCTTGCATCTCCCGGCAGGGAAACTATGTCTGGTATGCAGTAGGTACTCAATAAATGTTAGCAAGTTATGTTCTGGTTACTATAGGAAAAAGATATGATTTTTTTTTAAACTGTCATGATGGGAAGCCCACGCTCCAGAACCCCAGACCTGTCAGTCACGTCTGATTTGCAGGAGCTGAAGGCTGCACATGTTCCTGCTGGGGGAAGTGGAGCCTGAGCAGCTGGTCCAAAAAGGAAAGGGGCCTTTGCACAGTAAGAGGAGGGAGGGCATCTGCATGGTCACTGGAGGGGACGCCTGGAAGAGGTCTAGGGAAAGACAGCCCTCAGCTGAGGCAGAGGATCCAGTGGGATAAATCGGACTGGGGCAGAGGAACCCCTAAACTTGCTCCCAGTCCACCACCTCCATCTCTCGGAACCTGATCATGGGCCTAGCAATGCTTCCCTCTTCTGCTTTAGTAATAGAAAAAGAGCACTGGATTAGGAGACAGAAAATGAAGGCAAATCCCTTAATCTGAGTCTCTGTTTCCTTACTCATAAAATAGAGATAATAGTGCCCTTCAGAATATATCTGTGAATCCGGTAAATTTTAAATCCTTCTGTAAATATATTATTATTTTTAATCCTTTCTCCTCGCATGGTATTCTATATAGGCTTCTTATTAAAAAAAGTAAAGCCTAGGCCAAGCATGGTGGCTCACACCCGTAATCCCAGCACTTTGGGAGGCCAAGGTGGGCGGATCGCTTGAGGTCGGGAGTTCGAGACCGGCCTGGCCAATATGGTGAAACCCCATCTCTTCTAAAAATACAAAAATTAGCTGGGAGTGCTGGTGCATGCTTGTAATTCCAACTCCTGAGGCAGGAGGATTACTTGAACCTGGGAGGCGGAGGTTGCAGTGAGCTGAGATCGTGTCATTGCACTCCAGCCTGGGCGACAGAGTGAGACTCTTGTCTCAAAGACAAAACAAAACAAAAAAAACCCTTTATTTACACCTGTTATTCCCTCAAGCTATGTATCATTTCTCCTTCTCTTTCCTTAAAAAAAAATTAAAATACCAAAATTTCAGAAAAACACAGCTGAGGATGGTTGAGGAGGGCAGGTAGCAGAGTCTGGGGCAGAGGATTGGTCTGGAGGGTTTCGTATGCATGTGAAATGGGCAGCGCAACTCCAAAGACAGGGGAACAGAGAGGAGAGAACCTGGCTCCAGAACAAGGCGCCACCAAGCAGGTCAAGCATCCTGAAGCCTCGTCTGTAGAGTGGGATGAGGGGGATAATGGTACCCGCAGGGCTGCTGCGAGGATTGGACTATGTACAGCTTCTCACTGTAGAGAGCACACAGGTGCTCAATAAATGCTAGTGTCTGTTCTCAATGTGGGAGCTGATCGATGAGAACGCATGGACGCATGGGGGAAAACAAGACACACTGGGGCCTGTGGGGACGTGGGGGGAGGGAGCACATCGGGAAGAACAGCTAATAGAGGCTGGGCTTAGTGCCTAGGTGACTGATGATCTGTGCAGCAAACCACCATGGCATACGTTTACCCAAGTAACAGACCTGCACATCTGTATGTGTATCCCTGAACTTAAAAGTTGAGGGAGAAAAATTTGATAAATATTTGCTGAAAAAAAGAATAAATGGTTCTATAATTCTGTCATTCTTTTTTTTGAGACTGAGTCTTGCTCTGTTGCCCAGGTTGGAATGCAGTGGCGCGATCTCAGCGCACTGCAACTTCCACCTTCCAGGTTCAAGCAATTTTCCTGCCTCAGTCTCCCGAGTAGCTGGGATTACAGGCGCCCACCACCACACCTGGCTAATTTTTGTGTTTTTTAGTAGAGAAGGGGTTTAGCCATGTTGGCCAGGCTGGTCTCAAACTGCTGACCTCAGGCAATCTGCCTGCATTGGCCTCCCAAAGTGTTGGGATTACAGGTGTCAGCCACCAGACCCAGCCAATTCCATCATTCTTAAAAAAAGTAAATGCTAGTCTCTTTGTTGCACCCCCACCCCCTCCCAAACCCCAGCTTCATTTATAGAAATGATTGATCTCTCCCCTTTGTTCCCATCCTGTTCACAGCAGCCTGGGAAGCAGTACCCACCCCACATCCTCTTTGAACCAGAAGCTGAGCTATACTAGATGTGTTGGGGCTAGTGGGTGAAAAAGGAACAGAGTGCTGTCCCTGCACTGCAGGAGTGTGTGTGTATGTGCGTGGGGGTAGGGCACGAGATAAGTTCATTAAACCAATTCCTACAATCTAATGCAGAGTGTGCATGAATGGGGTGAACATAGGGGCTCTGGGAGCATCAGGGAGGCTCACGGCATTCAGCCTAAGGGGTCAGCTGGGAGGAGATGCCCCCAGAGGTTTATGAAGCATGCGGAGTGAGGGAAATGGGGTTGAGAGGGGAAGAGAGCATAGGAGAGAAGGAAATCAGAGTGCTAAGCCAGCCGAGGCAGCTTGGGACCACATGGCCCTCCTTTGAGGATCAGAATTCCCAGTTCCTGCAGCTCATGTGAGAGTTTCCTACCAACCTTGTCCCCTGGTTATTTCTTGCTGTTGCTTTTCTATGACTGCTACAAATTACAGAAAGGGTAAATATGTCTTTTGAAAAATTTTCAGTCTTTTCCTGTGTTAGTTAAAATGAAGGAGGAGGGAATTTCCTCCCTAAACAAGAGGTGGGGAATACAGGGGAGTGCAATCAGGGTGTCCACACTCAGGCCAAGTCTGAGGATGCTTGGACCCAAGTCAGGGCTGGGGGGCAGGTAAGACAGGTAGACAGTAGGGACTGGGGTGGGGTAAAACAGAAGACTGAAACCTTTCCTGGGCATTTCTCTTCCATGCAGAAAAATGATGCTTGACCAACTCACCACACCAATGGAGAAATAGTTGTTCATGATGCTGTATGGGACCTGGTCCCCGTTTTCCACTTCCTCTCTGGGGATGACTTCCAGATGCCAGCGGTCCAGCATCACCAAGGGGCTCTGCTCAATGTCCTTGAGGATTTTTGTCAAGCTGCCCCCTTCATAACCTGTGGAGGACAGCACTGCATTTGCCACCACAGCAGAAAGGCAGTGTTCTTGCTAATGCACAGGTAATTGTCAGGGCAGGTGGACCCAGGGCATCTGTGATGAGGGGACACCCCACTGGGTCTGTGGGCTGGAGACACTTATGTCCCCTGGGCCACAGAGAAGGGAAGGACAACCGGGAGTAATCAGAGGCTGGGGGCGGGGGAGGGGTGGGTGCTGGCTAAAGGTGGCAGGCCTGTGTAGCTGAAGCAAACCCTGGAGAAGCAGTGGGCTGGATGGCTGGGACTCTCCTTATGGGAGAACAGCAGATCCTTCCCAGCTGTGTCATGTGGGAAATGGTCAGTGTGGCAAGCAGAATTTTAAGATGGCCTCTCGGGCTGGGTCCTGCTTGCTCTGACACTGCCCACCAAGCATGGCCGATCATTGAACACTGACCGTTGCCCTGCCTGGTCTTGACTGATTCTCTGAATTGTCAGCCATCTGGAGTCCCCACCTCTTTTCTGGCCGGCAGCCTGATCTGTCTGCTCCATGTGTTGAGCTGAACATCTCCACTTTCTGGCACAAGTGCAACTCCATGGGGCTACTCCAGTTTGCAAAGTTCTCTGCCCCCAATCTTATAAACTGGTCATCACTCTGTGTTTCCTCTTAGGGAAATTTCAAAAGGAGTACCTATGGCCACGGGGCTTAGGATAATCTGAATGCTTCTAGTGACTTTAAGTAACTGGAGACGTAGCATTTCGGTCCTCAGTTTGTGTCCTAATTCAGAAGATCAGCCATCTGTGGGAGAGGGAATTTCATACAGAAAACATCTAAGTGAGCGCCTTCCTGGATGGGACTCTGGGGATGGGACACCTGAGACTTTGTCTTTACCCTGGAGTTGATTGCTTTCTACTTGGGAAAGCAGACTCTGACGTGATGGTTTCAGGATGGTAGTAAACATGGGGGCGAGGGAGCAAAAGGCTCCCAGAGCCCAGAAGAGGGGCTTCTATTCCAGATTCAGCAGGGGATGGAGGGCAGAGAAAGGGTGATGGACTTGGCCTGACTGCAGAGCTGAGTATGACACTGCGGAATGTGATCCATGAAAGGGTAAGTTTAGCCTAGCTCTGCAGAGCACCTCTGCAGACTGGAACGCTCGTTCCCGGGGTGGCAGCACTAGCACGCAGACTCACCTCCTCCCCAGCGGAGACAGCGGGCAAGGTCATTTCCTGTTCCAAGAGGCAGGACAGCCACTGGTGGATGCTTTGCAAAGTTGGCCTTATCTGCAAGACACACAGGAACAGAGAACAGCCATATGCCATGGGACCGCCGGGTGTTCGAGTTGTCTTCTTATCCCTGATCTGCTGCTTGAACCCCTTCGTAGCAGTCTCTGTTTGGATACCACCCGATGGGAAACACACTACTTCCTAAAGCCATCTATCCCATCTGCAGCGTGCTAACCACCACTAATTGAGTTAAATCTGTCCATTTGTATTTTATATTGAGCTAAATCTGTATCCTGCAACTTGCACATGTTCATTCAAATTTCATCCTAAATCTGTCCTTTGGGGTGGCAGCATACACCCCAACACATTAAGTTGCATGTTTTTAATCCTTAATGATAAGCAGCATTTACTCCATTTATCCCTCAGCCTACATTGCAAGGTATTATCTTCCTTCAGGTAGCTGAAGAAACATTGAGAAAGGGAAAGTGGTCTATAGCCATTCTACTCGGAGCGCTCAAGCTCATTCAGGAGCTTGAATGGGAGACAGGGAAAGTAATTCCAGAACCAGGATCCAAACCCAAATCTCTGCAGCTCCACGTTCATCCCCTTCCCCTCTTCAGGGGCTAGGCAGGTGTACAGATGAGTAAAACAGGTGGGGCTGCGACACCGGGGAATAGTGGGACATCGGACAAGTTGAAGATGCTCACCTTCAACTTTTCACCATGCGAGTTAAACGTTTAAAAACTAACATGAGTTAAACAAGCAATCATCCAGGTGTTATTTGGCCACCACAACCAGTGTGTCACTTCCTCCACCTCTCAGAATTGCAAAGATGCAGATTCCTAATCGTTTCTCTTTTGTTGGTTGTGAAGGACATCAGACAGGACTGTCAGAGAAAACACAACAGATAGACAGTGGCGTATTGTCTAGCCTGGAAGAGCTGAAGAGGGCACAGGCATCCATCAGTCTTGGGGGCGGGGGAGTATGAGACCTCAGTGTGCACTGTGCCCCTGGATGTGAACAGTGTGATTGCGGGGTGGGGAGAGATGCAGGAATCAGCAGGTGAGGCTCAAGCTAGGGCTTCCCTGGCAAACTGGGAGCTCATAGGTCCTCCAGGAGGTTTGACCTGTATCAGAAATGGCGGATTGCAGGCAAGACCCAGGACTGAGATGACCACTAGAAGGTCTGGGATGGAGAGGACGGCGATGCAATGGCCTCTCTCATTGTCCTCAGAACACGTGATCAGAGCACTGCCTCCCTGCCTTTGCACAGGCAGCTCCGTTTGCCTAGAAGGCTCTTGATTCCTGTGCCTGCCCCTCACCCCTCTGTGTCCACCTCAGCAGGTCAACTGTCCCTATGGTGTTGAGGCCAGAAACCTGTATGCCGTCTTGGGTTTTTCCTTTTCCCTCACCCATCCATCCACACATCGCTTTCTATGTGCTGTCTCCTTAACAGCTCTCCAGGCAATCTCTTCCTCTATCCCCATGGTGATGCCTGAGTGCAGGTATGATCCTTCCCACTGGTACTGCTGCAACAGCCTCCTCTCCTCTCTCTCCGCCTCCGGTTCCACCCACGCTGTGGGTGTATTGCCCACACTTTCACCCAGAAGGGCAGTCCATGGACCACAGCCCCTCGCATTACCCACCGCTTTCACTTCTGGGTGGGGCTGTGTGGCTCCCCGTGGCCCCACGCCATGCCGCAGTAGGCCCAGGAACCAGGCTCTGCCGTTCTTCTGAGCCTCAGCCTTCTGCATATCCTGCCTCCCACGCAACATGTCAACCATTCTCAAGTGTTTTCACTTCCTTAAAGCACAAAGCTCTCTATTGCTCAGCTTGGAAGCTGCCTTTGGGAGGCTCTCCCTAGTTGCTCCAGTCTGGACCTGGTGCCTCATCAGAATATTTCCTTAGCACCAGAAATGATCTCAATGTACTCTCTTGTCATTGTCTCCTCATTTGTTCCCTGAATGTATTGACACCTCCCGAGGGGAGACTGGGTCTCCTTCTCACAGCGTCTTCACACATATTGACTGAAGCCTGCTATATGCAGATGCGGCGTTAGATGCTGCAGCTGAGAGTGGGCGGAAAAGCCGGGGCTTGGGTCCTCATGGTGCTTACCTACTGTCTGGTGGGACAGACAGATACCAGTGAGGAATCCATGGAGAGAATGCATCATTTCACATTCACATTGGAAAACAGAGGGGCACTGTCGTATAAGAAGGTGCCTGAGGCTGGTGGGCGTGTCAGGGGAGGCTCCCCTGAGGAAGCCACGTGTCAGCTGAGATCTGGAGTGGAAGCTGGCTAAGCCAAGGCTGGCGCAGCATTGCAGACAGTGGGGCTGACTTGTGTGAAGGCCCTGAGGTGGGAGGGAGACTGGAACAGCCAGGGGTCTGAGAGATGGGCCGGGGCCTGAGTCCAGATGGAGAGAGACGGAGGTGGAAATAAGGCTGGAAGGCTGCGCCGCAGCTGGACCACCCTTTCAAGGGTTTTGTCTTTATCCTGAGAACAAGAGAAGCCACTGGTGTGTATGCCCATCAGGCACCCAGTGACGTCCAGGAAAGACGGCTCCGGCTGTAGGGCGAGAACAGATCAGAGAGGGGACCACGGCGGGGCGCTGGAGAGCACGGAACAAGTGCTTAAATGAGAGTGAATAGATGAACATCTTACGCACTTATCCCTTTTACTTCTGCTTTTTTCTCTTTGGGCCACTAACCTGTGGAAAAAAAAAACCCTAATGTTTCTTCCTCCTTCTGTGATCTTCCTTCTTTCTGTTTTGAGCAGCTTCTTGGTCTGTGTCCTCTGCGGATGACCGGCACAAAGCTCTCCGCCAAAGCCTGCTTTCTCCCTCATGGTGGAGAGGGAGCTGTGTGACTGGCCCAGTGCCGCAGCCATCCACCCTCTGCGGATCAGTTGTTCCTTCCTTGGCTCCCAGAGGAATCCTCCCTCCTCCCACAAACAACTCCAGAGCCCAAGGTGACAGGAGAGCGTGGGTGGCTGCTTGGCAGGGCTGTGTCCATGGCAACCAAAGCGCTTGGGGGAGTGGCGGGTGGCAGGTGCAGTCCTGCAGCCTTCTCAGACGGCTCGGTCTCTACTTACAGTCCCCGGAGGCACAGCCTTCTCTGCCCTAGTCATGGCCCAGTCCTGGCCTATCGCGGACTCTCCTCTTCCTCTCATCTCCCACATCCAGTCTGTCAGCAAAGCTTATTGCCTTCACCTTCTAAAGATATCCAGAAGCTGGCCACTTCCCACCACCCCTCCGTTTCTGCTGTGGTCCAAGCCCTGGACATCTCTCCCTTGGATTGCTGCAGTGGCCTCCTAACTGATCTCTTCCTCCCTCTTCCCTAATCAGTCATGTTCCTCCTTCGCTCGAAACCACCCAATGTCCTGGGGCCCTCCCAGTACAGAAGCCATAGTCCATATCATGCCCTGTGTGTCCTAATCACCTGTCCCCTCATCACCTCCGCTTCATCCTCTGTAGCTTTTCTCACATCCACTCTGCTCTGTCCTGCTTCCAGCAGCCTGGCCTGCTCCAACTGCACGGTCTTTGCTTTTGCAGTTGCTTCTGCCTGGACTGACCTTCCTCAGGCATCCACGTGGCTCACTCCTCCGGATCTCCATGCAAATGTTGACTTCTCTGTGAGGTGTTAGATTGCAGCCTTGCGCTCCCTTTGCCCCTTCCCTGCTGTATTTTAAACACCTACTGACATACTATGTCTCACTCATTTAATTGTTCATTGCCTGTCTCTTTCCTTTAGACGGTAAGCTCCATGAAAGTGGAATTTTTGTCTGTTCGTTCACAGCTGTATCTCTAGTGCCCTGGGGAGAGCTTCGTGCATCGCGGTGCACAGGCTGCATTTGTGGAATGAAGAATGGAGAGCCCTGGGCTCGTCGTTCAGGGCCAGTCTCTGACTTGATGACCATCCTCCCGGGTGCTCCTGGCTGTTTTCTTGTCCTTACATTACATTTTGCGGTGTTTGTCTGGGTTCTCTAGAGTTAGATCTTGACTCTGCTTCCATCCCAGAATTTCGGAGTCAGTTTCCATCACTTACTAGGGCTACGTGTCCAAGGACCTACAGACCCAGGTAGAGCTAGGTAGAACTGAGGCTAGCAGCCTTCCAGCCTGGGCCTTTTAATCTATCTGTACTGTCCTGGACACAGCTCAGTGTGGTCCTTCTTTGCTTGCACTGACCTGTACTTTGCAGATGCGTTCTTCTGGACTCAGGCTCCACGTGTTTATCCCAGGTGATTTGTCCCAGGCTATGATCTATGCTTAGCTCTCTGCCCTTTACCCACACCAAAGGATCTGCCCAGAATTCCGCTCTTGTCCTCCTCCCACTCCCCAAATCTGGCCTGTCCTGTCACTGCCCAAACCCCAGCCATGACAGATCTGCTTTAGAGGCAAGGCCTGAAATGAAACTGTTATCTCTGCATCTGTGGGAATCATTCCATTGTTTTATTTCTTTATTTTTTCCACCCAGGGCAAATATTTAGTCAAGTGTTGGTCCTAGGGAAGATGCAAGGACGAACAGACATGGCTCCATGTCTCTTTATTTCTTATTGCCTTCTGCTGACTGTAAATATGCTCACTATAAATGAGCAGCAAAGGCCCTCTCGGCCCGTGCTTACCAATGCAATCCAAAATCCAGCCGACTGTCCCATCTCCGCCACAGGCCAAAACACGGAAGTCTGGAGTGTCACGGAAAAAGTTCAGCCTGGAAAGAAGAAAGGCCGAAATGGGCTTGTTACGTGTGGTTGCGGCTGACATTGATACGTGTTGAGTCAGAGTCTCCTCTGTTCCCCAGGAGTATGCTAAGACCTCAATTCCTTCTGGGGTCAGAAGGGCCCCTCAAGGTTCTGAAACCAGAGGGTACCATACAGGGCCTTGAATATGCAGCAAAGGCCCAGGGGCCATCCTTGTGCAAGGAGAATCTGACTCAACATTCAACACAAATGGAAAACGGTGTTCTAGAAATTCACTACTGGCTATGCAGAGGAGTCCAGGGTCTGTGCATTTTGGCGTCAATGCAAATAGCCCCCGATGTTCTCACTCCCCTCAGGCCCTCCTGACATCGCCCTGGTAAGCGAGTCGCACTGAGTTTGCTGAACTTTCACTTCACTCTCCTGTGGCCACACTGAGTGGACTGACGCCCTTCTCTTCTCAGGAGCCTTAACCTTGGAGAGCGGCGCGCTTAACCTGGGGTCCATCAACCTCCAAGGGTTCTGTGGATTGGATTCAGAGGGCCATGAACTTGGAGGAGAAAATATTATGTTCTTGTTTTCCCTGAGCTCAAACTGAACTAAGTAGTGTTTCCTTCAATTCAGAATGGAGGCAACAAACCACAGAGGTATGAACGATACCCACGACTTCGTCAGCGGTCAAAGCACAGGCGTGTTAGTGTGTCATTACGGTTATGGCAGATGCCTCATAGTAGCGTCAGGCTTATCACTGCTTGGAATTTGTGGTAGTTATCAGACCCACTTCTGGGTCTTCCTATTTAAAGTATTGGTGAAGCTCATATATTGAGTGATATTCTCATGTCACTAATTTGTTTTACTGTTTTAATAACTATTTTTTAGATACAGTTTCCCTGGTCACCTTTTATTATTTCATTTTATGCATTAAGAAATATTCCAAGAGGGGGTTTATATGCTTTACCGGACTGCCAAGGGGGTTCCTGGCACAAAAAAGAACCTCTGCTTTAGGACGAATGTGACCTGCGGACACCTTAAGGGTGGGACTTGGGAAGCCGAAGGTCAGTATTTCCAATCTGCCCAGCCTGGCAGTCTGAGAAGAGCCTGGAGCTTTCAGAGTCACTAATGCGTGTGTAGGCAAATGAACATTCTTTCTCTTCCACTTCTCTTTCAGAACTCTCCTCTCTCTTGGGAAGTGAATTCTGAACAGAGACGCACTCCCTGCAGCTGGCAGCCTGTCCGATTACAGAGTGACATGCACAAGACAGACACTCGGGCATGTCAGCCCTGGAAGTAGCCACCTGGCACTTCATCCCAGGTAAAAACGATGTAGAATACATGAGAGTACGCTGGAGGACGGTATGCATGCTTGGACAGTGGGCTGGTAAAGGTGTCTGTGGGGTGCTGCTCCGTCACAAGGCCCCGCTGTACAGCAGGGACGGCAATCGTGGTGACCGTGATGGCAGCTGCAGCTGTATCCAGAGGTGGGCTCTGTTCTGAAGTTAGTTTTACAGGTCAATCATGGCAGGGGTACTGAATTTGACTTAGGTTTCTCTCTTTTAACTGGGCCTTGTACTACTGCTGCCATGAATAATAGCTTTGGTGTTAGCCAAAGACAGGGTCAGATTCCCTTTTCAGAGTCCTTACCCCAGCCTCTCTGAGGGGTCTTGCTGAGCTCGGAGGAGAAGTCCTGGTTAGGAGGTTGGGCCAAGTGGCTGTGTGCTGGACAAGCCAGCCCAGCGAATGCAGACAGCCCCGGGTCCAGGGCCGGCCAGCAGAGGGCTCTCGAGCCCCGGCCCAGACTGGGAGGAGACCCAGGCTTTCCCTGCCTTCTAGCCCAGGTGCTGGAGGGGCCCGCATCCCAGGGACCTGCAGCTCCCCATTAGCCACCGCGGACACAGGGACCAGGCCTCCCACCAACTCTGTTCAACCCCATGCTAACCAGCAGAGAATAACCAATGAGTCAGTGGCAGGATGAGCAAAACAACCTCAAAATCAAATGATTTAGAAAACAAAAGTGATTCCATTGGGCAAGTAATTGTCTCCATCCTAAAATGCTCCCACAGTGGAACACCAAGGCAGAACTCTGAGTCACTGTATAGATTTCCAAACTGCTGACTGACAATGATAAGAAAACTTTCTCTTCTCTGATGATTCAGTATGAAGACGCCAGCTCACAGAGCCTTGCAAATAAGTTAAAATAATTTACCAGCCTGTTCCTCCTGTCAATCAAATGAATGGTGTGTGCCATTTTCCCCTCTTATAAAATCAACAACTTTTTCTGAGACAAGCTACAGGAAGCCACTTCTCACACAGAGTTAGCCTCCATGGGCATCCCGAGCATCTCCAGGAGTGAGAGTAGGACGGGAGAAAAAGCAGAGAAAGGGAGTAAAATGGCAGGAAGGGACACGTCGAGAGATGAAAGATAAAAAAGGTGACAAAAGAGGCATCTTTGGCCGGGCGCGGTGACTCACGCCTGTAATCCCAGCACTTTGGGAGGCCAAGATGGGCGGATCACGAGGTCAGAAGATAGAGACCAGCCTGACCAACCTGGTGAAACCCTGTCTGCTAAAAATACAAAAACTAGCCATTCTGGTGGTGGGTGCCTGCAATCCCAGCTATTTGGGAGGCTGAGGCAGGAGAATCACTTGAACCCGGGAGGCAGAGATTGCTGTGAGCCAAGATCACGCCACTGCACTCTAGCCTGGGCGACATAGCGAGATTCTGTCTCAAAAAAAACAAAGCAAAACAAACGAACAAACAAAAAGCCATCTTCATTTGAGACTGAAAGGGGAGGGGAATAAGGGACGAAGAGGTATCTTCATTAGAGATTAAAAGGGAGGGGAGAAATAAGAGGTAAAGACTGTGATCTCCATACCCTGGAGTAGGCCCCCCATTGTCCAGGTTGAAAACTTGTTTGGGGTTGAGCAGATAGTGGAATTTCCGAAGAATTCTATGGAAAAAAAAAAAGAAAAGGAGGGAGAAAGAGAGACAGAGAAGGAATATGTCATCGTGAGAAGTCACATTAGGGCAAACACCTCTGGAGCCTACTGGTGGCAGGGAAGAGGGCTCAGTGAAACCCCAGAGGGGAGGGCACTGCCTGCTGAGCCTGGCGTCCAGGCTCCACCTGGCATCACCCATGTCATCACTCCCAGTTCAGAGCTGTGCTACCAACCTAGACTCCGGCTCCTAAGCCCAGAAGCATCACCCCTTGCAAAGAGGACAAGGGAGAGAAACCCAGAGAACAGAACTTTCATTCTAAAGCTTTATCCTCTGCAGAGACCTTCTCCCAAATGTTCTGTATGGTCTAGGCAGTGGGATTCTGCCATCTGTAGACTGTACAAAAGCATCCAGGACCCCCCTCCTCCCCAGCCTCCCCAGGGAGAGTCCCCCTGCAGTCCTGGGATCAGGAGGAAATGCAGAAGGTGGCGTTGGGCAGGGGAGGGCTGAGAGACTGTGGCCGCACCCAGGCCTGCTTTCCCAGCTCCGGCTTGTAACTGCCAGGTCAGTTCAGGAGGGTGTCCTGCCCCATGGATGGGGGTGGGGGTCTTCCTCATTCTTGCTTTAACTCAGCTAACTATTGTTTTTTAACCTGGATTCCAGATCACGATGCCATCTGTTAATGATCCTGGAATTGGGAGGTAGGGCTGCTTTACCCATCCTCTCCATCCTCCTGTTCTGTTGAACAATTTTTAGCCACCACTGAACTGGGCATTTCAGCAAACGGATGAGGTGGATGCCCTGGGTTCCCATGGGTGGCGGTAGCCCAGGAGGTCCTAATCAGTGCCTCCCATCCCCGCAACTCTTAAATTAAGATAAGGCCTGAGAGGCTAGGAAGGCACAGGCATCTCAGAGCATGGTCTAACCCTTAATAATGGCTCTATTCTCACCTGTGAGAGGAGGAAGGATAATTAACTCCATTTTACAGAGGAGGAAACTGACGACCAGGGACATTAAGTCACACGGGCCAGGTTATAAAGTGGCAGGTGGCAGTGCTGGGGTTTGTCTGCTTATCTCCACAGCCTGCTGTGTTATTGCCAAGGGAAAGAAGCACCTGAGTCATGCTGCCCTAGTTGCTCCGCTTTGAAAAAGAAGAGAACGTACCTTTCTCCTTGTCTCCCTCCACTCTTGGGGTTCACCAAGACCAGCAGGGGGTGGGTACCCGGTGTGGGGATGATCTTATACTTGAAAGGTAAAAGAAAAAGAAATTAGCTCTGCTTCATCCAATCAGAGGGTGAGATGAGAGCTGAAGCCAAGGCAGCTTCGGACAGGCAGATGAGAAGCAGGAGGAGAGGCGGTCAGGGAGGAAGGTGCTTGTCCACTGGCTGAATTTCCTAAGGGGCTAAGTAGCCAAGTGTCTCCAGTTTGAATGGCCTTTCAGTAGTGTTGATGACAGTGAGAGTTTGAGGTCAGGATCAGCGATGGGACAATGGTGCTGTAGCTTTGAATCATTCAACAATGATGTGGCCTTGTGCCTACAGCACAAGATTACATTTTGTGGGAGACATACAGTCTTAGAAAGCACGGCTGTCTGATCTTGCACGTAAGTGAAATAGCACTCAGGGCGTGAACCACTGCTTCCACCCTGGCCCCTTCCAATGCTCATTCCCAGCTGCAGTTTGCTCCCTGCACCCTGGCCCCACATTTCCCACTGTCCAGTGGGTCCTGTTGACTGGGTGTCTCACTATCAGCACAAGCTCAGCATGCTTCAAACCTGACCCATCTTCTCTCCCTATGAAGCTCGGCCTTTCTCCTGGTTCCCTGTTTCTCTTATTCATCCAGCCAACCAAGGAAGCTCCTGTCCTGCCATGTCTTTCCATGAAATGTCCCTTTACCTCTGGCAGCTGCCACTGCCCCATGCTTGGGCCTTTCCCACTCCAGGTAAGACCTGCACGCCACCCTCACACAGTTCCTTCCCAGAACACCAGGTCAACCATGCCACTCTTGCTCAAAAACTTTTAAGGACAACCTCATTATTAAAGGAGTGGATTTTGTGGCTAAAATGCAAGTCTCCTAACATGGCATGAAAGGCCTTTCCAGTCTAGCCCTATCTTACTGCTGTCTCCTAATTCCTGCTAACCTTCAGCTGCAGGCACAGCCAAGTCCTGCTGTTGTTGCTCTGGTAAGTCTAGCGTGTGTCTCTTGCATTTCCACCCATGTATCTGCTCATGTTGGTTTCTTCTTCCATTCCGTGCCCTGAAAAGCCCACTTCCTTCTTTGTAAACTCTTAACAAAACAAAACAAAACAACTAGTTGGGCATGGTCACTCACGTCTGTAATCCCAGAACTTTGGGAGGTTGAGGTGTGCGGATCACGAGGTCAGGAGTTCGAAACCCGTCTGGCCAACATGATGAAACCCCTAAAATACTAAAAATATAAAACTTAGCTGAGTGTGGTGGCATACACCTGTAATTCCAGGTACTCAGGAGGCTGAGGCAGGAGAATCGCTTGAACCCGGGAGGTTGAGGTTGCAGTGAGCCGAGGTTGCACCACTGCACTCCAGCCTGGGCAACAGGGCAAGACTCCATCTCAGAAAAGAAAAAACAAAACAAAACCAAAAAACAGAAAAACCAACAACAGAAGCCTTCTTATCCTCGGGGCTCAATTCAAGAGGCGCCTCCTTTATGAATTCTCCTTGATCATTGCAACTAAAACGATTGCACTTGAAACATGTACTATCTTCTGGAGTTTCTTTTGTTGTTGATTTGAATTTTTTTTTACTTTCTTAGGTAAATGATTCAAAATTATCAACTGGATTTTAAATGCATTGGGAGCGGAGTGGGGTGTGTGTAACTCTACTACCAAGGACCTTATAGCACCAGACACAAGAGTGGGTGCTCAGCAAATATTTGTGGGCTCAGTAGAAGGATACACCAATGCAGATACGCAGCTCTGCTCCATATTCAATATGTAATGCCTGCTTTTCCAGATCTCAAGCTAAAAGTCCAGCAAACACAGTGCCATGTTGTTTGAAAAGGATAGTACCATTCCCGATGATTTTAAAAAACGGTCTCACCTGCCCAGGGTGACTATGTGACACCCAGAAGCATCTTGGAGGCTGAGGAAAAATCCCTCACCTCTGGAGATGATATTCAACGTATTTAACAGCCAACCCTACAGCGTGGGCTCTGCTCCATCAGATGCAGAACAACCCGAAGCCTGCCTGCCCTAAACAACAGGCACAGAGGTGTCGGGCGTGCGTGTGTGTGTTTCCCACCTTGCTGCCCTTCTAGATGTCTAGAGCTTTCTCACATATTAAGGTTCTCCCCTCATTCTGCCTTGTTTCACTTCTTTCTTTCTTCCTTTTTCCTTCCTTTCCTTTCCTTGCTTCTTTCCTTTCCTTTCTTTCCTTCTCTCTTTCTTTCCTTTCTTTCTCTGTTGCCCAGGCTGGAGTGCAGTGGCCAACCTCCACCTCCCAGGTTCCAGCAATTCCCCTACCTCAGCCTCCCTAGGATTACAGGTGCCCCCGCCCCCACACCACTCCCAGCTGATTTTTATATTTTTAGTAGAGACAGGGTTTCACCATGTTGGCCTGGCTGGTCTCGAACCCCCGACCTTAGGCAATCTGCTGCCCGCAGCCTCCCAAAGAGCTGGGATTACAGGCCTGAGCTATCATGCTTGGCCTGTTTTACTTTTGAAAACACACGAATCTGTGTGTTCTCATTGAATCTCACAGCACCTCTGGGAGGGGCAGGGCACGGTTGACTGTGCCCCTTTCAGCGGAGGAAACTTGAGGCTCAGAGGCAGAGGAGGTGGTGCTGGTTCCCAGTTTCCTTTCCTGGTACTCTTTGTTCCTCACCAGACTGCCTTCCCTGCATTCCTTGGAACTCCGTGGAAGGCACAGAAAATGTTCATAGGTGAACCCAAGTGAAAAAATGAGTTCTTAAGTATACATTTAAGGATTCAGAAGAACTTTTGGATCTGGTTAGCTTCATTCTGGCAGATCATGTTCTGGAGACAGCTTGGCAATCTTGGAAAACCCATTGTCTATTTTTAGGCCACATCTTTGGTATTATTTAGGACATCTGCAAATTAAAGTTTTATGTAACTTGTTCCTAAAATAGTGATAAAGCCCAAGAAGACCAGCAATGGGATCAGCCAACCTGTCCTCTCACCGCTTGCTGAGAGTGTGGCTGTCAAAGGCAACTCCAGAGGCCAGAAATAAATGCCCTGCTGGGTGATTTAATTGGTCAGATGAGAAGGCAAATGCTGAGATGCTTTTCTACCGAACCCGAACCCCGTCCTCCCCGCCACAGCCCTGGAACAACTTAGAAGCAGCAATCAGGCTCAGTGCTCACTGAGGTACCTGCATTACAAGTTCGCCCTTGGTAGACACGCAGCCATCAGACTTCCCACCTGGCCTGTCCTGTGAGAAGAAAGGAAAGACAAGCATCTTTTGGAAAAAGAAGCCTAATACAAAGAAAGTGATCAGATGAAAAACAAATGGCTGAAGTAAAGAAAGAGATTAGAAAGCTAGTGTAGTATGGAGAGGCGATTTTCAACATGGGGCTTCTGACCTGAAGAAAGAAATGTATCCCTAGGAGTTTTTCCAGGATTCTCCAAGCCTCTGTCATCACCAGCTCTGACTTTACCTTTGAGGCAAGGGACATGGTGGGGAGCACTGAAATTGGCAGAATTCCACTTGGTTGATTTAGAAGCTTGAGCTCTGAGAAGCAAGTTTGTAGACTTGGCTTTTCTGCTGAGCACTAATGATATGATATTGTCATTTTTGCTGGTTTATCTTGTTTTTCTAATGTTTATTTTACTGAGGCTTTCTCACATATAGCAAAATGCTCACATCGAAATTACACAGCTTGATGAATTTTGGATACAGGTATGCCCTGGCAACTACTACGTCTTCATATGGGTTTTGCCTGGCTTTTGAATTTCATATACATGGAATCATAGAGCATATCTTTTTCTGAGTCTAGCTTGCTTGGCTCAGCATTATATTTTTGAGACTCTCCATGTTTTTACTTTGTGCATAGCTGCTGCTTCTCCATTGCAGTGTAGTTTCCAATTCTGTGAATGCCAGAAGCCGATGTGCCTCAGTTTATTCATCTGTTCTGTTAACGGTCAGTTAACTTGTTTCCAGTTTTTAACTGCTATGAATGAAGCTGCTATGAGCATTCTCATGCATGTCTTTTTGTGGAATAGATGCTTGTACTTTCCAGGTAGATGCACTGGAGGATAATTGCTGGGTTATGGAGTTTGTATATTTCTAATACAGTAAATATTGCCAAATGGCTTCCCAACGTGTTGGTTTTTCTTTTTTTTGAGACAGAATCTTGCTCTGTCACCTAGGATGGGGCGTAGTAGTGTGATTTGGGCTCACTGCAACCTCCACCTCCCAGGTTCAGGCAATAATCCTGCCTCAGCCTGCCCCGTAGCTGGGATTACAGGCAGCCACCATCACACCAGGCTAAGTTTTGTACTTTTAGTAGAGATGGGGTTTCATCATGTTGGCCAGGCTGGTCTCAAACTCCTGACCACGGGTGATCCGCCCGCCTCAGCCTCCCAAAGTTCTGGGATTACAGGCGTGACCCACCACGCCCGGCCTTTTCTCAGGTTTTTCATGAGAAAGAAGTAGCTGGTCAAGTCAAGAGTGAGATGTGAGGAATCAGTGGCACTTGCAGCATTTTTAAGATGGAAAGGGGGCGAAGTTAAGTGTTTGGTGCTTGTTTGAAAGAGGAGTCTCCAACACAGGTGGCAGGGTTGGGGGGGGTTAAGGAGCTTAATTTTGCTGCTTTCATTTCCAAATAGGGCTGAGACATCCAAGTGAAAACTCAGGAGGTGGAGGGAGATAGGGACTGGATGTGGCAGGGAGGTTGATAGACTCCCAACCTGTCAACCTGACTGTGCACAGGTGGTGACTGAGGATCCTTGTGCTGCGCACTGCCTGCAAGAGGCTTAGAACAAATGTGCTTTCCTTGATGGGTCATTTCAGAGCATTCGGGGTGGCCCGCAATTGGAAACAGTATAGTCAGAGAAGTGTTCTCTCAAAATCTGATCTGTGCAGTGCTGACCTCTTTCAGGCACACACCAAAAACACAAACCCAACGGAGAGGAGCAGAAAAGATTAACGACTGGGCACTGGGCTTAAAACCCAGGTGATAAAATAATCTGTACAGCAAACCTCCGTGACACGTTTGCCTGTGTAACAAACCTTCCCATGTACCCTGTAACCTAAAATAAAAGTTAAAAAAATAAAACACAACCCCCAAGAGTTATCAGGGAAGCCCTGTGAGGAATGTGAATGTCCGAAAGCTGCCTCCATCTGAAAGGGCAGCCTGGAGAAGCTAGAGCCCTCTCCGGGGCAGGAGCACTTACCCGGGTGATGGGGCATATTGAGGTGGGCAGCAAGATGTGATCTCTGAGTTCCCCGCCGTCACACAACGTTGATAATTCACACTTGCGGTGAAACTGGGTGGAGAAATGAAAAGGAGAGTGAGCAAAAGTGAGCAAAGAAACATCAAACATGAGGGTGGAGAGGTTTGCAGGAGAGGTGGTGCTCCCCAAATCCTGATGCACTACTGGCTTTGACAGTACTGCTGTGTGTGTGTGTGTGTGTGTGTGTGTGTGTGTGTGTGTGTGTGTATGTGTGTGTGTGTGGTTAAGGGTGCAAAGTCTGCCATGGGCACAGAAGGAGGCCAATGGCTACCGAAGTGACACTGTCATGAGCTGGCCTGTGACCCTTCAACGTGGCACCCTGTGTTGATTCCAGAGACCCCTTGGATATGTGCTCTCCAAGGCTCTGAGACTCTGGCAGGAGGGAGATCTTGATGAACAAACTCATGGATGGCTGAGAGTAAACCTTGTGACTCAACCTTTGCACTCTGAGAGCTCTGCGGTCTCCTTTGGAGAAATCTACACTTTGAGGCTGATACCTGGGGAAAGGACAAGGGCTGGCACTGGGATTTGACAGGCAGGTTGGCTAGCGCAGAGGCTGCCAGTGGTACCCGGGTGTCCAGTGGGGCTGTGGACTCTAGCATTGCTGTGGCTGGTGGCAGCAGGCCCAAGCCTTTGGCCCAGGCAATGAGGCTGCTCTGAGGAATGTGCCTTTAGGGCAGTCACCCCCTCTCATGATGCTCCTGTTGTCCAATTCTTCTCCCACTCTGTCAGTGTCCCTTGCCCCAGGTGACACCCAGGTGAAAGAAGTTCATGGTCAGGCCTGCTGATCCCAGCTGCCAGGCCACACAGACAGTGGACTGGCCAGCTGCTTCTTCTGCAGTCCTCACTCCCCTGGTTCAGGAGTGCTCTCTCTGGGCAGCTTGGTGATTCACTGGAGCACCATTAGGCTGAGGGTATTGAATGGGGGCTGTGGGGTGCTCCTAGCCTCACCTCTCTGGCTCCACTCATGCCCTCTGGCGGGATGTCCATGGCTCCTGGGCTGCAGCTTGGGCAAAAAAAAAAAAAAAAAAAAAAACACCGAAAAGAAGCAGGGCCACCCTGGGCATCAACCCACCGTCATCCGGCACCACACGCAGTGCCGCGCGGTGACACTCTGGTAGCACTTGATACTTTTGTGGCACCGGTCACACTTGACGGAGGAGTTCCCTTCCACCCATGCGTGCTGCATTACCTGCGGGAGGGAAGCGAAGGGTCCCAGGGAAAATGGCAGAACCATGCCCCCCGGGGCCCTGGGCTGGAGGAGAAGGATCTGGGAGGTGACGCTGGGGAGCCAGAGGGACTCTTTCCCTTACTGGATGCTTACTGGATGTTGGGCTGCTTTGCTTAATGGCACGATGTTGTTCCTTCCTGCCTGACCGCCATTATGCCAATCAAAGGAGATTAAAAACCCGCTTTGCCACATTTTGAGCAGCTCAACTGCCCTGGCAGGCAGGCCTCCAAGCAGCATCTTGTCTGGCAGTCCATCTGTTTGTCTTGCAGAACTCCTGCAGAGTGATGTGTTTGTATGCGCCCTCTTCTGGAAGGCAGCATGGTACAGAGGAAGTCTGGAGGACTTGGGTGGGCCACAGACAAATCTGGTTGGTATCCCTTTGAAGTGGTGGCCTTTGGCCAGTTCTTAGACCTCTCTGAGTCTCAGGTCCCTGACCGGCAGAAATTTGTATAAGAAGTCTCACCTCTGGGGTTACTGGGGCAACGCAATGAGGTAGCACGTTTGGAAGGTCCTCCCTAGTCCTATCCCGGCCCTTTGGGGTACCCAAAATTGCGTAATGTCCTTCCCCTTCCTCAGCCTTAGCTGCCCATTAGAAGTACCTGGGGGAGCTTTTAGGAGTCGTAATTCCCAGCCGACACTCCAGACCAAATAAATAGGAGTCTTTGAGGGTGGGACACATGAGTAATCTGTTTTAAAGCACTCTGGGTGATTATCACGTGCAGTTGAGACTGAAAAGCACTCTAGAAGGAAATTAGAGAAAAAGTCCAAAGAAATGAGAGAGGCCCCACTGGTGCTTTTCACACCTGGTTCCTGGGGAGCTGGTTGTATCTGCTCCTTGATCAGGAAATACCACCAGGGCAGGCTGGGCACTTGGAAACAGGTGGGACAGTGGGAATGTTTGCATGTGTGTGTCGGTGCAGCTAAAGCAACAGCAGCTTACTAGTAACCCCACTATCCGGGAGGCTGAGCTCTCAGTTCTCTCCCCCTGGAATTCTACAGAACTCACACATTTCCACCATGGTACCCCAAATAACGGAAGGAAGTGGATATGGACTCTAGAAGGTGGGGGACATACCCTGAAGTGCCTACCTGCAAGCGCAGTGTTAGAAACCCATGAAATATTTGCATGATTCTGTCCAGGTTTGTATTAAATAAGAACAAATGTGTTTTTTGAGACAGTTTCACTCTGTTGCCCAGGCTGGAGTGCAGTGGCATAACCATAGCTCACTGCAGCCTTGACCTTCCCCGCTCAAGCTCAGGCTCCCAAGTAGCTGGGACTACAGGCACATGCCGCCACACCAGGCTTATTTTTGTATTTTCTTTTTGTAAAGGCAGGATCTCATCATGTTGCCCAGGCTGGTCTCTAACTCCTGGGCTCAAGCTATTGGCCCTGTTCAGCCTCCTAAAGTGCTGGGATGGATTACAGGTGTGAGTGACTGCACGCAGTCCAGCGATAAATGTTTTAAATGACTTAGCAATTAAGTTGCTTAAGGCCTCCCCTAAAAATGTTTTTGGTAAAATTATTGCTCCAGAAGATCTGTCACGTTTGGTTGGTAGCTTATCACCTTGTGCCTTGCACTTCTGAGGGTGTAAAAAACTCGGTTTGTTCACCCATCTGTCATCCATGTGGCCACAGTGAATTTGCTCTGAGATTATTATTTCCATTTTGCAGAGGAAACAATGACGGTTTCAGAGAGATTAAGTGACTGGCCCTAGGTTCCCAGCCTGGCGAGCGGCCAAGTACGGTTTCCTAGCCAGGTCTTCTGACCCCAAGTCCAGGACTGTTTTCCCACCACCACGTTGCCTTCCCCATTAATGCTCTTTGGGATCTGAGATGGTGAAGGACTGGGGTTGCTCCTGCAGGCTGAGAAGGTTGTGAGTATGCCCTGCTGGCCTCTCATCGGCCTCACTCTGTTCTCTGTGTGACAGGTGGCCAGAGTGTAGGCTTAGGGCCTGCGCCCAGCAGGCATACCACGTGTCCCGGTGAAAGGCATGGACATGGAGTGGGGCGTGCATGGGGTGGTGCAGAAGGCATGGATGAGAGACCATGAGGTGTCCATGGGGCATGCACACAAGTCCTCGGAGGCACCTGTCTCTCCCAGGAGTCCTTCTGCAGGAGGGCTGGGTACCACTCTTACCTGCCAACCATCTCCTAATTCACACTCCTCCATGGAATCTTCCCTTTGCAGGAAGGCAAAGTATCCTTTCCCTGCTAATTTCGAGGGAAGTCTATCTCTAGACTTGGTGAATGGCACCACCCAATGGCTGAGTTGGAAACCTGGGAGCCATCCCCTGCCTCTCCCCTCTCTCTCATCCACTGTATCCCCATCACCGCATCTTGGTGGTGGTACTTCCAAATCACCTCTCAAGCTCTCCCTTCATCTTTCCTCCTTTAGCCAGCGTGACAGTCAAAATACTCAATAAATAACTGGCACAGCCCAGGGGACCCTCAACACAGGACTGCGCTACAGCAGCGAGTGTGCATCCCGCCCCAGCTGGGCCCTCAGCGCAAGTATCGGAAGAGTTTGATTTCATCTCTCCCCTGATTTCTCTCCCACAGCACACTCAGAGCTATTAACCTAATTCACAAACTCGATCACATCTTCATGTGCTTGAAGCCCTTCAGTGGCCCCCGGCTGCACAGGTAACACCTTTCTAACTCCTTGGCTGGCCTCACAAGACCTGCTCCAGGCCAGATCTCACCACTTTCTGAGTGCCTCTCCCACCACTTTCCTTTAAGCATCCTCTGCTCCAGCCATGCCACACTAAGTATGGATCCCGGAAGAAGCCATGTCTCATGCCTTTACACACGGCTTCCTCTTCCTGGAGAGTCTTGTTCTCGATGCCTCATGAAGTCCTCTCAATTTGTGTTCGTGACACAACTACAATGCCTGCTCCTTGTGCAGCTCACCCTGTGCTTCCACTCTGCCTTCCACACAGCTGTGTTGTTGTAGCACACATCTCACTGCTGTTCTCTCCCCCTAGAGAGCACAGTTGTCCAGCATCTCTGACAACCCGTGGACCCCCTAGCACAGAGCCTGGCACATAGCGGGCACCAGGAAGGTGCTGAATGGATTGATGGATGAACGGGATGGTTTATGGGTGGTCCTCCAGGCAGAGAAGGGACTGGATAAAGCTCCCAGCGCCCCTTCCTGCTCAGGAATCCATGCTGATGGGCATGCTGCCTGGATGAGGCATGCAGTAGAACAAGGCAGTAGATGTCACCAACCTCGCCACTCCTTTTGGCTTTTGAGTACGTTTTGACACACCCAGGAATGTTTTTGGATACACAGCGTTCGTGGACAGTGTATTTACAGTCTGAAAAGAAAAAAAAAAATCAAGGCAGGTGCTTGTGAATGACCACGTAGGAGAGCTCCAGCCACCCTCGCACCCCAGCCAACGCCTGTACCTCCCTCTGAATGGCTCGTGAGGGGCAGGGGACACAGGAGCTGGGCTTGCCTAATGGAAATTCAGAACAGCCTCCAGTTGTTCTTGGACAGAGTCCCTGGCTATCTGCTGCGGCTGCGCCTACACTTGCCCCACTGCCTTCCTCTGTGGGCAGTGAACGCGGCAGGACACATCCCCAGAAAGGCGCTTTTTTGAAGAGGAGCATGTGGCATCATCCTCCTGGCTATGCCAGTGCCACGGTATCCCATGCCAGAGACATTGGAGAGTGTGTCGAAAGGTCAGGGCTTTTTAAGGCCAGGCAGGCTCCGGTGACAATCTACACGACCTTGGGGAAATTGCTTTACCTCTCTGACATTCAGGGTTTTCTGTAAAATGGGAAGAACACGGGCTCTCTTTCTCTCTGCAGGGATGTTGCAGCGTTACACTGTGTAAAGAATTATGTGCCTGGGTCAGAGCAGCTCCTCCACACATTACTGCTGTGGTTGTCACTACCATTATGTGAACAGCAGAGGCCCATGGGCCTAGAACTTCATGGGAACGAGACTGATCTATAAAATGTGGGTGAGAGCTGGGTTTGAACTGGCTCTGGGGAGACTGGTGGACCCCTTCTTTAGCCCGCTGATGCTTGGTCTTTGTGGACAGCGGACCCAGCTCTGCCAAGGCGACTCTCGTGGCTGAGGTCACTTGCTGCCTAATTCACACGTGCACGCTGGATAAAACAATTCGACCTGGACCACAGCAAAGGGGCCTCCCTGCAGCAGCAGCTCCCTGGTCTCTGATGGGTTCAGGCTGATGCTGCTGTCCACATCACGGGGCGGGAGGCAGGGCTCCGTTCACCTACATACTTGGGTGCGTGGCACGGCTTCTTGCTGCAGCCCCTCTGCCCTCTGCTCCTGCTCCGTGTCTCCTTCTTTCCTACCCCTTCTTACCCTTTTCCCTCCATCCCTTTCTCCTGTTCGCCTTTCCTGTCTTCCTCTCATTTTTCTTCTATCACTTATCACTTGTAGTTTTTTCCACCTTTCTACTGTGACTTTAATAAAGAAATCAAAAAGTGAAACAACTAGAGTTTTGATTCCCATTGCATTTACAGAATTCAAAATGCTTTTTTTTTTTTTTTTTTTTTTTTTTTTTTTTTTTT